ATATGGTGGATGATTTCTTTTGAACCTAGAAGATAAATAGATTTATAGTATAAGTAAAATACTTTTTTAAAATTATACCATCGGTTTGAGAAAATGATATAATATCCTTTAAAACTCATATATGCATAAAGTCTATATATTACTTTTCTGTCAAATAATCGAATGGAAAATACAAGCTATATCAATTTTAATTTAAATGGATTTGGATTAAAAGCAAATAGTTAGAACTTTTATATAGCATGTATTACTAAAACGTTTTCCAAATTTGTCAAAAACCAAAGAGGAAATTGCTAAACGAAAGTGGAAGAAGCTTAAGCAGCTATAGTTTTAGTGAGACTTGTGAGAAAAATATAAACATGACGTTTCGAAAACACTAGATGATTGCTCACATATACACCGCTAGATATTTTCGTATACATTTTCATATATTCTTGGAAAATTGGCAATTATAGCCAAGAAAAAAAACTAATATCTAACCAAAACATTCTTATATGGCAAAATTATAACTAGATTTAGGTGTTTTGGTTAGATATTATGTTTTATTTTTTTTTCTTGGTTATTTTTACAAATGACCCTATATTCTTTTCATTATCACCTTCTAATGATCTTAGTCATATTTTTGTAGTTTTAGTCTTTTTAGCCATGTTTTGATATATTAATTATCCTATATATATTAATTGAAGAGATACTAAAAGTAAAAATCCTAGGTGTCATTCAAAGAGGGTTTTAGAGAACACTTTAATTAAATCAACCAATAATAACATTTCAATTTGTCATGGTGAAAATATTTACATATGTTAATATTTTTTCATATATACATAGCATTAATGACAAAAATATATACTTGCCAAATTCATAACCTGAAAACTCAAACCGGTTCAATTAGTAATATTTTGGTTAGTGATAAATTTGGGTTTAACAATATTTTATAGAGCTGTTGAAAACATTTTTTTTTTTGTAAATATAAGATGTAAATCATTCGATTACATTCTTTGTCATATATTATAAGATGATACTTCCATTTTATTTTTATTTTTTGTATACACTTAAACGCAAGACCTATCATATTAAGGTACTCAAGATTCGAAAATCGATCGGATAATTTTTTTGATGGACATAATTATTTATCTAATATATTTTGATATGTATGATTCAAAAAATATATTTTAAATATGCAATAAACTGAAATTGATACTCCCACGCATAGCGTTGATCAAAATCTAGTTGTTTGTATTCATTGAAAAGTTTGTTGGCTTTAAGGTTTCTTTGTTTCGTAGATCTCCAATTTTTAGGTAAAAAATTTTAAATATATAAAAGGGTAACGATTTTGATTTTTCGAAGTATAATATTTTTTTTAAAAAGTCGTTAACTTTTATATAAATAAATTTTAGTTTCAAATCTATTTCATAAAATCTTGAGTGTTACAACTTATGCTATTTTGTCAATTTTAGTTACCATATTTTAAAGTAAATAATTTTTCATTTTATATGTTTATAGTTTTTCCCTCACTATTTTTGTTTGTGTTTCTTTGAAAACAATATTGATTCTCGTTTCAACCTGGTACTAGATTAGTATCCGTGCTATGCACGAGTCTAATTGTAACCATTAATATAATTTTAAATTATTTGAAAACATTTTACAATTTAATTATATTTTTTCAAGTTTTAACTTTTTCATCGGTATGATCGACTAATATCAGCTCAATAAATTCATGTAGATTAGTCATCG